GTAGTGTAGGCTGATTATTTAGCATTTAGGAATTAACTAATCACCATTCATTTGGGACCAAAAGTGATTAGTGGATGACTTGTAAGAATTAAGGATGTCCGGCGAAAACACAAGCCAACATATACACAAAGCATCGATTTGTTTGATCTGAGATTCAAAGATTACAGCAGAAGCGCCAGTGATGAAATCAAAATGCATCTATGCTGCTGCTGTAGTTAATAATACCCTAAGTCCTTACAAGACGGCGAAACCACTGTTCTCCCCGCCAACCTGAAGTTCCTCCCCTAACACCCGAGGGCGTTCGCCGAGGATCTGAGCCGACCATGCTTCATCTGCTGGAGACGCGTATCTGGCTAAGGGTTTACTCACTCCGGCAGCAGTGTGTGGGGCAGAGGGGGGTCCCACGGTAGGAGCGATGGGGTAAATATAAACCGGGTTCATCATCATTTGTGCTTTTTGGTGCTCCTCACTCTCTGGGGGTGCTATGTTCAGATCAAGATTTGATTCTGATGCCCTCTCATTTATCTCCCTTCGGAGCTCGCTGATTTTTAATTTGAGAGCAGAATTCTCCTCCTCCAGTTCGGTTTTCTCCACGCTCACCTGCACGCAAGAAAATTTAGTTTCTCCTAAGGACAAACTTTTGCATTTTTTGTGCCCAAGGACCTGAAAGAAGTGATAGGGGAAAGTTAAGGTACATATTGGGATTCTGACAACAAAGCTGCATTTTCTCTTCTTAGCTGCTCGATTTGAGCTAACAAGTCCTTCACATTTCGAGTGGTCTCAGCTAATATTGATGCCTTCCCGTTCACTTGTTCTGAAAGTTCTGCACCGATAAATGCATCAGAAAAGAGAGCAAAAAAAAGTATAATATTGTGATGTCGTAGAGATAATAACAGAAAAGAATTTAAAAATTACCAAGAGCATTAGCCAGAGAAAGAAAGAGATCATTCAAATGATCACGCTTCATCTTCTCTCTCTCTGCCTTGTGAACTCTTTTTGGAACTTTCTTGTACTTCTTTTTAGTAGGATCATCCCTGCACGTCGAGGGATCTAAATCAATAAAGAAATCTTGAAGAATTTTCTTCGGAATGCCATAGAGATAGGCTATGAAGGAAAATTGTTGACATGAAACAAACTCATTTGAAGAGTTCATTTGACATTTCAAACTCAGTTCTTTAAAGTGAGATTTATAAGAAAGTGGACAACAAATTACGGAAGGAGGGATTAAATATTTAACACCTCGACGATTAGAGCTACCCATTTAGGACCTGAATGATTGCTTTTTTTTGTTTATTGTTGTTGTGTTTATATCCAATGACATTAACATATACTTGATAGAAAACCCTCCCTCCAAAACATTCGTGTTACAAATATTCATAAACATTGACTCTCCTCAAATGTCATGAAAGATTTGACACAAGGAATAATAAGTTTATACTAACCTGCTTAGCACTCTATCTGAAGGAGTGTTGTCGTTGTCGTTGTCGTCTTCTATCACTGGAGCAACGGGACTATCTGAATCCATGATTCACCAAAAGGCTTATCAGATTCAACTTGCAAGCCGGAAGCCTCTTTCTTAAAATCTTTTTTATTCTTGTTCTTCCAGAAATGTAGCCTGCGTAGAAAACTGGATGCAAGAAGATTAAACATCAGAATATATTCTTTTTGAAAAAAATCAGAATATAAACTTAGAAGATGATTAGAAGAAACTCAAAGCATTAAGTAGCAATTGGGGGAAATAGAGAAAATTTAATCGCATGATGCTGTGAAACACATGTTTCATACAAACGTTTGTTCTGGTTACAAAAAAAAACATGTTTCACAATTTGTGTCACTTCATAAATCGAGACAACTTAAAACACATTTTCCACTTTTTCTATATTAAAGTAACTTCTCATTTCTCAAAAAAGGGATATTAGGTACTCGTAAATCTCAATTTTAAGAAACGAGTTTTAAGAGTTTGTTTGGATAAAAAAAGTGTAATTACAATCATTACTAGGGTAGTAATCACACAAATAAGATATTACGCGAACTGTTCCGCAATCACAGCATACTTACTAAGTAATTGAGCATTTGTGTTAGTTAATACTAGATGTGTATGTGCGTGTGTAACTACACTAATTCGGGTCCCTCCCCTTGGAATTTGAACCCTCCAATTACACCAACTAGACGCTGATTTTGTAATTACGCAGCCAACCAAAAATGACAAAATGCGCAATTACACTAAATCCCAATTGCACACATCTTATCCAAACAGACTCTAAATGTCAAATAAGTCCTTCAAATGCGATTAAGTCTTTATGTCAACAATGCACATAGCCTATGTTAGTCTTTATGTCAACAATGCCTAGTCTCTCACATGCAATGATTCTCTACGCGGGATTGTTTCTGGGTGGTGTCAACGAGAAGTAGCATTTTCCATCATTTTATAAGACTTTCTAAAATCTAGAATATTGAGTCCGTGTGCATACTGCATATTAATAGCTACATAAGCAACAATTAATATGAAAGCGAAGGGGTAAAGAATTGATAAAGTTTTAATCAAAGACTAAATTTTTACAAAGAAAGTGAGACAATTCACGAAAGAAGTAGCAAATGAAAATAAAAAATGGTTCAATTTCATCAAATCTCCCACACTACCACAGAAGATGAGGTCATCCCCCCTGAACAGAAGTTGCCCTAAAAAAAACTAAACCATCAAGAACGCCGCATAAAAATCAAAGCTTTAGCTGATTTCACATATGCCTTACAATGAATCGAATCAAAAGTAATTTAAAGAAAAGAATGAAAACCCTCAAATTTGATGCATCCAAATCAGCTAATTAGCGACCACGAGTTAAAAAGTTGGAAGAAATTTATGGGCGCATACCTTTTGAGGGCTGTTCTTGTTAAATTTTCTGTCTTGAAACGGGATATTGAGTCGAGGAAGACGATGAGAAAGGGAGGTGAAAAAAGGGTGGCGGCGTGTGGCGAGCATCGGCTAACAGGAAGCAGGGAACAAAATAGGAAGGGGTTGACACGGGGATCGGCGGTGGCGTCTGCGGCACACACTCCCTCTCGTGCTCGCCTCGTGCCGCGGAGCTCATGACTCACCAATATGGTGCTTACGTGCAAATATAACTTACACCTAAGCAATCCTTTAAGAAAATGAGATAATTGTCCCATTCATATTTTCATAAGGCCTTTTTCTTTAGGTAATTCTATAATCGATCTTTTATAACTGTTGGTTTTTTTATATCTAATTCTTTATTAGCACATATTATTTTAAGTCTTTTTTATCTATTGTCATGTTAGTATTAATTTTA